GTGTGTGTGTGTGAGAGAGAGAGAGAGAGAGAGAGAGAGAGAGAGAGAGAGAGAGAGAGAGAGAGAGAGAGAGAGAGAGAGAGTGTGAGGTGCGCCGGGGTTGTACGCGTTAGTTGCTGCGGTATATAGTCGAGGCGTCGGGCGCTGTCGGGGCTTCTGCCTTCCACAATGGTGCGATGGTCCGGGAGAAGGGTGATAATTTTGACAAGTTTGCGCGGCTGACAAAACCATCCGCGGTCGATGTGCTGCACTTTGCGCCCGCCGTTCCTATATATAGACACGACTGCGTCGTCAAAAAATAAATAAAAAATAAGCTCACTCTACGAAGAAAAGGGTATGATAGGGCTGAACGGGGTGGGGGCGGTGGCGGGGTGTGGCTCGCGCATCGCCACCTCCCGCACCGGGCGAGGTGCTTTATTTCCCATAGTGGCACCCCGGGTCGCGTGCGCCCTGCCGAAAGTGCTCTCCATCTCACTCTTTCACTCTGCTGCGCCCGCCCGTACCCCCTCGCTCTCCCGCCCGCACTTCAGAGTCAGGAAAAGATATCGTTTGCCTCGCGTCCCAATATAACCTCCCCCGCCCCCCGCCTCCTTCTTCCTCCCGCCTCTTTTTTGGATCCCTTGCGATTTATTTTCCGCCCCGGCCGCAGGCTTCGCGCCGCGCTAGTAGTTAGGTCGGGTCAGCGCGAACATTTTCGAAGCGTTTCCTACACCCTCGCCCTACTCCCTTCCATCACTCCCCCCCCCCCCTTATCCGCGTGACATTTGGACCCCCCGCAGAGAGCACTTTGCTGCGAATCAACAGGGGGAAAGTGGCAGCAAAAACGGGGAAAGGCGAGGAGGGGGGAGGGAGGTAGCGTCAGCAATTAGGAGATGACTCTTCCCCTTCCCCCATTCTTGCTTGTGACCCTCCCCCAACCCCCTTCCTTTCTAACTGCCCGCTCCCTAAAGGTCTGGCGCTGACCTCGACTTTGGCCGCTGCTAATGAGGGATTACCCGAAGGGAGTGCGGTGGGCGGTGCTATCGCCCCCTCTAAACTCCCCCCCCCCCC